GTATCCGTAAAGTAAAGCAGAAATACGACTGCCTTAGGCTAAAAAAAAACCGTCTTAACCACGCATGCATTTATCCATGCATCGTATGCACAAAACACGAATAAACACAGGAAACAAAGAGGGAAATATCCTCCACTGGCGATGGCCCAAAGCGAGAGGTTTATTAAATTCGTTATTGCTTCTGCATCAGTTCCTATCAGCAACGTACCTTTCTGTAAACAGTCTACGGGGGAATTAGCGGTAGCGAGGAACGAGGAGAAGGGCTGAAATTACTCTTTTTCGTTAGCATCGAAATGATGAGAGCGATAGAACTCTTACAATTACTACGTCTTACTCAAAACATGGCAGTTGCTTGTATAAAAGGAGAGCTGTCTTTACAGTAGTATATCCTTTCCGTGGAGCAGATTCACACGACTCCCCCACGAACCCCCAAGGACGGGCCAGTTCACTTCAATTTACCATCTTGGTTCCAATCGAGAGCAATGCATTGAATGTTTCAGATATGAAGCAATATAAAGAAAACATTACCTTTCTACAGAAATGTTACAACAAAATTGGTAATCGAATGTGTTCAACGACTTCTTTAACGATGGAAAGAAATGAAGTTACAAGCGTTCCAATAGCTAATAAGAGTGACTCCGCCGTTATCTTAATTTTCATCGACATTTTCTTGGAAAGTTGGCGATACTGGCATGGGGCCAGTTGAGAGCTACCGTTTGCCACAACGCGTATAATATGAAACTGTAAACGTTTCCCTAACAATACAAAGGGTAGAGTTTCACAGGAGTTCAGCTGACTTTCATTTTTTTCCAGGTTTCTCCCATGAGTAAAACCGCCCATTGTCGGCAGTTTATTGCGCACTTGGCCAACAGAGGGACAAGAAATACACCAACTAGACCACCTGTCAATCATATACATTGGACAAATACACACATACACACACACACACACACACACACACACACACACACACACACACACACACACACTAACTTACTCACACACACTCACTCACACACGCACGCACACCCACATA